GGTGAAGGTCCAGAGTATTTACGTAGTCTCTTGGTGTGGCATGTGCCATCACGAAATCTTCGTTCAGGTGATAGACGATTGCTGGTTGAGCCCAGGTTTATGAGGTCATGGGGTGACAGATCTTTTGTAGTTGCGGCCCCCCGTTTGTGGAACAGATTACCGCTTGAAATAAGATCAAGTTCGTCGACTGCTTTGTTCAAACGTGCTCTGAAAACACATCTATTTTTTGTTGCTCAAGGAAATTAATTTATTGTGAATTGATTTTTTTTTTTTTTGTTCTTCAATTTGTTTAGTTAGATGCCCACAAAACTGAGAACACCTGTGAGTCATGTACTAGCCGGTCTTTGCACCTTAAATTGCTGGTAAACGGAAGCAGTGATGTGGGTTATGGTCGTTTTTCTGGTAGCCTTTAGTTTAAAAGGATAAGCTTTTTCATGGTTTTCACAAGCGCCTTGAGCACTTTAGTGGAGATGTGCGCTTAATAAATCTTATTATTATTATTATTATTATTATTTATTTGATTTACATTTATTTTGAACATTGCCATTAGGACATTGTTTAAATCCACACTAGCCTTACACTGATTGTACTGTCGGCAATACCAGATAGGTTCATTCCCATTACATTATGGTCTTCCATTTCTATAGCGCATAATAAAGTGCATGACAAACGTCACTTAACCACTACTAATTCCACCTTAATTCGGAGTCGCTCAGCTCAGTCTTACAATGTTCGTTTTGACACTGTGTTTTTAGCATTGCTTTAAAGTAATAACCTATCAGACATTTACATGAACAACAAAACAAATGGAATTAGATTTATCTTAACGATTGTTTTCAGCAAAGTGGTGTATCCATAATTTAAAGAAGGGGGTGCTGATGTAATGAGAGTCCACATCACGTCAGTACCATCGTGGTTGGTGGTGACGCAAAAATTTCAGTATTTTATACCACTGGATGCCCCAAAATTGAACTTACATTACCTATTAAATAATAATGTTTTTGACGAATTGAGTTAAAAAAAAAACAACCCCCAATTAATTAATTAGGTACCCGAAAATGAAATTTAAGTACTTCTATTCTAAAAACTCCCATATTCAACTGAGAACATTTTGAGAAGTTGAGACTCGTTAAATGCACAAAAAAGCACTTGAATAGTACAAAATTTACGATATCTACCTGAGCCCCACCGTGATTTTGGGGCGCAGATGAGTCAATTGCAAGAATTTGAGACTTTATAGATGCCCCAAAACAACACTCGGATACTTACAATTTATGAAAATTCCAATCTATCTATCTCAGTCCACCATGGTTGAGGCTAAGGTAAAACAATTGTAAGAATTAGAGATTTTTAGATGCAGGAAAATGGCACTTTAATAGGACTACATAAAAACAACAAAAATTACTATATCCACATAAAAACCTAGGAAAATTACTATACCACCTGAGCCCTGTCGTGTTTGAGGCTGCATAAGAAAAAGTTGGAGAACAGCACTTTAATACTTAAAATTTATGTTGGTTATTTTTTAACTTTTGAATAGGGATGTCAACGGGACGCAACTGCCAAAAAAACATTTTTGGCAGCGAAGAGACGCTACCAATAAACAATCAACAAACTACCGAGTTTCTGGGTTGATTTCCAAGTTCTACATGGCTCAACTATTTTTTACTTTAGGGTTAATTGGTAAAAATCGCACACAAATCATACGACGTCACTGACAACGCCGGAGACGGCAACTCGATTTTGAGATTAATTTTCCGAATAAAGTTATACTAAATATCTTCTAATGACGAATTATTGTCTTCAGTTGTCTTTGTTGGTCATTCAACTGTCATTTTATCTAT